TTTTTTTTTTTTTTTTATAAAATATACTTTTTTTTTTACCCTTTGGTACCAGGGATCAAACTCAGGTTCTTGTGCTTGTGAGGTAGGCAGCGGAACCACTGAGCTACATCTCCGGCCCTCGAAACAACTTTTCTTTCAACAAAAACCCTCATTCTTCTCTACCTGTGCTTCTCCCTCCCGCTGCAGACTCGCAGCACCTCAGCATGGCCTCATGTGCTCTGCAGGCTGCATCAGCTTGTCCTCCCTGCTTTATCCCTCGCCTCTTCCCCATGCTAATCCTCTCTTCAAAATGTGCCCAGCACTCTCAAGACTACCTATTCCCATGCACCGTTCCCTAGGTCCAGGCCATTTTCCCACACTCCCCGAGCTGTGTGATTCCAAACCTTCTGCAAAACTCAGCGCAGCCATTGTTCCTGCAAGGAGCCAGGCATCTGGTGAAGCTAACATCACCCGGGCTCTTGGCCCCCAGGGTCCCTTTTCAGGTGAACTGTCTGCATGTGTCCTGGCCTTTAGTGCATTTGGGTGTTTTGTAATTACTTTTGGGGGCCAGGAATGTAGCTCAGTGGTGCTGTGCCTGCCTGGCAAGTGCAAGGTCCTGAGTTTGATACCCAATAATACACACATACACACACACACACACAGTAGTGCCTGTGATTACTTTTGAAAGAGCAGCTGTCTGTGTGGTGCACCAGTCCCATAATGATGTACGGAGGCCCCAAAGGTACAGAAAGCCATCTCCCTGTTAGCCCACATAGTAGTTGATCTTATACTTATGCAAATGCACAAAGTATCTCAAAATGGAACTTAGGGACAGATTGTGTGAGAGAGGGGCAATCCAAGATTCTCCACATGGGAGTCTCTGGTGGAAACAGGGCCACAAAAGGGGACAGAGGGCTCTGTGTGTGGGTCAGAAGCACCCATGTGAGATGATGGTGGTGGGGCTTCCATAAACAGATGGCCCAAGCAGGAGCGGACAAACTCAGGGCTGTGGCCAAAGCCAGCTGCACCCATTGTTTGGCCTCTCACTGCAGCCCCTTTCACCCAAGGGTGGCACTGAGCGTGTCCCTGAGTGGTGCACAGGCACAGTGGGAGCTGCTGCTGTCTGGTCCTTTGCACAGAAACTTGCCAGCCACCACGCCAAAGGCTTGTACTTCCGCCAGGGGAGCCCAGGTAAGATCTTAGTCACCACTGCTGCCCTTCTTCCTCCCTCTGGCTCCTTCAGTGCGTGCTGTACACCGGCTCCTGGAGCACCGCCACCATGGCATCCCCTGGCCCTGCACCAGGCACCCCATCACTCAGCTGACCAACTCCATCGTCCAGCGTGTGAACGAGGCTTCTGGGCTCTACCAGATGTTCGGGGTGCTGGCTGATGTCATCCTGCTGAAGGAGTGAGTGGCCTTCCCATCCCCACCTGCCTGCCCTCTGCTCTACCTCACCAGAACACCCCACACCGTGCTTCTTTCTCTGTCCTGTGCAGTGTGGCCCAGTGTCCCTTCCTAAAACGAGGCCCATGGGGGACAAAGATCTGTTCTGTTACTGACTTCTCACCAGCTGGAGTCAGTTGGTCCTGGTCCTTATCAATCAGGCGAATAGTGGTACTCAGTGCCCTAGAAGGACACAGTGCAGAGCACAGCAGGGACAGAGCTGGAGGGGAGGCCGGAGGGCCCTCAGGATAAGGCAGGCGAGCAGAGCAAGAACCATCACCAGAGGGCACAGCCTGGTCCCAGCCTCCGGTGTGGATGCCCAGTGTGCCCAGTCCGGGGCCACCCAAGGAAGTCAGTGTGCTCAGTGCTTGAACCTCACTTCATCCTTGAGCCCCCCTCTATCCCATCAGCACCCACACTGGGCAAAGCATTCCAGCTCCACCTGCTAGAGTGACCGGCTCTGGGCAGCTCCTCTGTCCTCATCCCCGTGGCTGTCCTCTGTGCTGACTCGGCAGCACCCCCCTTCACATAACCCTGGTCTGTCCTCACCATAGCAGCCAGAGGGGTCCCTGTCAAGAGCAGTCGCACTGATGCGGCCTCTGCTGCACCCCTTCAGGGGCCAGCAGCTCCCTTCTAGGTCCAGGGAACCCATATCCCCAGGCATACACAGCCCCCTTGCCCCATCCCCATGACCCGGCTCCCTCCTGCTTCCCCACTGCAGCCACCTCCTGAAGGGTCCTCCACACAGCAGGACACTTGTTCCCTCCTTAGGGCCTCTCCCTTATTGTCTTTGGCCAGGAGTACACCTTCCCAGATGCCTGTTCCAGTAACACAGTTTCCAGAATGTATCCCAGGTCTAGTGATCACAGTGGTACCAGCTGGCCAGGGTCCATGCTGCGCACTGACGCTGGCGAGAGGGACCCCCACACCCTGCTCCTCTCCCCTCTGCACGACGCTGAGGCCCCACGTTGCCCCCACCCAGGAACGCCTCGGCCTTTGAGTACCTGGAGGAGTTCCCCATGCAGATGCTGGCCCAGCTGGAGACCCTCACAGGAAGGACGGCCAAGCACGGGCTGTTCGTCATCAACATGGAGTATGGCAAAAACTTCTCAGGGCCTGACAAGGACGTCTTCTTTCACCACCGGTCCGTGGGGCATACGGAAGACGCGTGGCAGTCTAACTTCCTCCACCCTGTCATCTACTACTACAGGCACCTCCCTACCGGTGAGCCACGACTTCCTAGAGGTGACACCCCTTGTACCCACCGTGTGTACAGTTGTGACCAGTAAGCTCTTGCCGAATTCCTGTAGCTGACAGAAGGGCGACCCATCCTGCCCAGAGACCAGACAGGGACGGAATGGCTGAGAATGGTGACTCCCGATTCTAGATTATGCCGCATATTGTGATCTGCCTGGGCCACACCGAGGTGTCGTGATTTCCAGGCGCCACATAGAAAGGGGGGTGCTGTCAGGAAGTCTGACTGCAGCGGGGGAAGGGAGCCCACAGGCCAACTGTTAAGTGAAGGGGACAGGGAACCCGAGCTGATAAATGGTGTAGAAAAGATGGGTTAGATCCCCAGGTCTGTTGCTCTGTGACTTTGGGCCATCTCTCAGCCTCTGTGAGCCTCAGCTTCCTCATCTGTAAAATGGGGATGACGTTAGTGCCTTCCTTGTAGGATTGCTGGGGTGAGTCTGACAGTGTACAGAATAACACCCAGTGCTGCTGGTAACAAGCAGCCTGGGGGACATGACTTCCAATTCAGAGCCTGGAACGCATCCATTGGAGAGGGTGGCCCAGATCAGGGCTGCTTCCAAGGGCAAAGGTAGCATCAGCAGGTGGAAGGGCTAGGGCGCAGGTCTGTATTGAATATGATGTGGAAATGGTCACCTTGAGCCAAGTTCCTAGGACAAGGACTGTCAGCTCTCAGCTGGGTGGCCATTTGACCAGGCACTGTCGAAGGGGGTTCACAGCAGCAGGAAGTGGAACTCGGGATACCAAGATGCTGTCCATGTAGCACCTGTGGGCTGCTCACAGCAAGACCAGGTTTAAAGCAGCCACAGTGGGCCTCAGTCCCTGTGTCTCAGCCAAACACCACCTTCACATGATCAGTCGCGGCTCCTTCCCCGAGTCAGCTTCCAAGTCAGAGGGTGGGGTTAATGAGCTGACCAAGACCTTGCAGGTGTGTGTCAAGAGCACAGTAGATGAGCTGGGTTCGGTGGCACACGCTGTGATTCCAGCACTTGGGAGGCTGAGGCAGGAGGATCACTGTGAGTTCAAGGCCAGCCTGAACTACATAGCAAGACTATCTAAAAAAGCAAAACAAAACAAAAAAACATGTTAGGATGTTGGGGACAGGCATTTGGCAGGGTTGGCCGTGATGTGGCTCCCTCTCTCCCCCAGAGCAGGAGGTGAGGTTCCGCCCTGCACACTGGCCCCTGCCGAGGCCCACAGCCATCCACCACATCGTGGAAGATTTCCTGACAGACTGGACTGCCCCGGTGGGGCACATCCTCCCGCTGAGGCGCTTCCTGGAAAACTGTCTGGACACGGATCTGCGAAGTTTCTATGCAGGTAACTTGAGTTCCCGAAAGGACATGGGAACTGACCTAGAGGTTGGAGGAAGGTACAGGAGACCCATGCTGTTGTGGAGTCTTCAGACCCCAATCTCAAAATCGAAACCCAGGCTCCTGTTGACTACAAGCTGCTGGGCTAGAGGTTAACTGAAACCCCCTCCCAGCATAGGACCCCTAACAATATGGAATAACATGTCCTTAAAAACTGGACAGGAGCTGGGCATGGCAGTGCACGCCTTCATTTCCAGCACTTGGTGGTGCTGCTTTGTTTATGGGGAGGCTGGCAGGAGGATCACTGTGAGTTCAAGGCCAGCCTGAACTACATAGCAAGACTATCTAAAAAAGCAAAACAAAACAAAAAAACATGTTAGGATGTTGGGGACAGGCATTTGGCAGGGTTGGCCGTGATGTGGCTCCCTCTCTCCCCCAGAGCAGGAGGTGAGGTTCCGCCCTGCACACTGGCCCCTGCCGAGGCCCACAGCCATCCACCACATCGTGGAAGATTTCCTGACAGACTGGACTGCCCCGGTGGGGCACATCCTCCCGCTGAGGCGCTTCCTGGAAAACTGTCTGGACACGGATCTGCGAAGTTTCTATGCAGGTAACTTGAGTTCCCGAAAGGACATGGGAACTGACCTAGAGGTTGGAGGAAGGTACAGGAGACCCATGCTGTTGTGGAGTCTTCAGACCCCAATCTCAAAATCGAAACCCAGGCTCCTGTTGACTACAAGCTGCTGGGCTAGAGGTTAACTGAAACCCCCTCCCAGCATAGGACCCCTAACAATATGGAATAACATGTCCTTAAAAACTGGACAGGAGCTGGGCATGGCAGTGCACGCCTTCATTTCCAGCACTTGGTGGTGCTGCTTTGTTTCTGCAGTCCTGGAGTCGGAACCCAGCTATATCCCCAGCCCTTTTTTATTTTTTATTTTGAGATAGGGTTTCACTAAGTTGCCCAGACTGGGCTCAAAATTGTCATCCTCTTGCCTCAGCCTCCCAGAATTCTGGGATTACATACAATCACTCCCAGCTCACCCTGGTATTTGGGAGGCTGAGGCAAGAGGATCACAGGTTTGAGGCCAGCATGGGTTACAAAGCTGGGTCAAGGATGGTCTAAACTACATAGCAAGAACTTATCTCAGAAAACCAAAAACCAAAGAAAAAAGAAAATAAGACTGCTGGGAAAATAAGGGAACAGAGGCCTGACACTTCAGAAGGCACAAACCACAGCTGGGCCTGCTGACCATCAGAGGCCCAATCCTCGGTCTGTGCTGAGCAGCCTTTGGGTGGAGAGATGAGGTGGAACAGCATGAGGTCTGCTTAGGACCCTCAAACAACTCTTATATCCCAGTGGGTAAATAGAAGCAGAGAATGCTTCCAGGGGGCTGGGGATATAGTTCAGGGGCACCATGCCTGCCTGGCTAGCACAAGGTCCTGAGTTCAATTCCCAGTACCTTCAAAAAAAGAACCAGTAAGAAAATGCTGCCGGAAGGAAACAGAAGAGATGCAGGCTTTTGAGCCCTGGGTAGAGTGAGGAGAAAAAAATCTTCCCTGAGAATTTCCAACCTCTGGGCCTGATGTGGTAAATCACAGAAGCAAATGCAAACTTTCACTTAAGAAATACACTTTAAGCAAAGAAAAAAAAGAAAAGAAAAGAAATATACGTTAAAACTAGGCCTCTAGGAATTCCCACAGATGAAGTTCCCAGGAACAGGAATTCCCAGTGAAATTTCACAGAACACGTAAGGGCACAGACCACCAGGAAGGAGTGTTAGCAGAAATAACTGATGGGCTCAAACCTGCACACAAAGGCTGCAAGTATTGGGATGGTCACATAGTAAGTATATTCCAGAAATTTAAAATATTAATTGAGAATATAATGAAGGGGGGAAAGATTCTCCATTGTGGCTGGAGTGGGATGTGGCTCAGGTAGAGCACTTGCCCAGCATGCACAAGGCCTGGGGTCAGTCCCTGTCTATGTATATGAAACATGTGTCGATGAATACATATGTGTGTGTGACCCTATGTGAGAGATGTATATTATATCTAAAGGAACAGGGACTGGGCTGGGGATTTAGCTCAGTGGTTCCGCCACCTGCCTCACAAGCTCAAGGACCCGAGTTCAATCCCCAGTCCGGGGGTGGGGGGAGGAACAGGGACTACCAAAATTGGGCAGTTTTGAGAAGACTCCAAATAGAACTTCTGGAAATAAAAAGAAATGAGAAGCTCAAGGCAAAGGATTAGTGGTGCTTTACATGGAGATGAAGAGAGCTGGTGAACTGAAAGGTGGATCTGAGCTACACCCAGAGAGGGACTTAGGGATAGAGGGGAAATCAACTGAAAAAAGCCAAGATCCCCCAAATACCTAGAATATTGATTCCTTTTTTTTTTTTAAATTGAGGAAACATCTGTTTAATACGGTAATGTGTCAGACACTGCTCATAGCATATCAGAATAGAGTCTGGCCTGGCTTAGAGAACAAGAGTCCTAGTTTCATCCTGAGTCTGCTTTGAAACAACATTATGTATTAGGGGAGATTAAGGAAGTAACACAGGCATACGTGTACATAACACGCACACACACGATTAATTCATAGAACCCAGAGCAAAGCAACTTTGAAGTCCTGGCAGTCTGCAGGCCAACAACCTGGACCGTACACTGACCCATGAAATGAGGCTCGAGTCCTCAGCCCCTAAGAAATGCCTCCTTGTTTCTCAAGGTTTCAGGGGACATTAAAAGAATGCCAGCATCAGTTAGATGTGATGACACATCCCCATAATCCCAGCACTCTAGGAGGCTGAGGCAGGAGGATTGTAAACTCAAGCCCAGTGTGAGCCGTTTACTGACATAGCATCTCAAAATTAAAACAAAAGAATTTTAAAGGTCTGAGTGTGGCTGTCCTGACGTGGGAGAAACCCTCCAACAGAGGGCCAGCTGGCAAAGTGCTAGGCTCTCTTTTGTCCCCTTTGCTGCTATGCAGCTGCCAGTTCTGGCCTCAGACTCTGCTGAGAGTCTGTGCCCCTGGGCCTTGCAGAAGTGGTGGCATCCTCAGAAGATGGTGCTGTCCTCCCTGGCATCTGTGTTCTTCCCTGCTCTGAGCGGATTGCCATGCTCTTTCCTGCTGGGGGCATTTGTGCCAGGAATCAGAGAGAACACAGGAGCTGGGCATGGCAGCACACACCTGTAATCCCAGCACTCGGGAGGCCAAGGGAGTTAGATTGCCATGAATTCAAGGCTTGTCCATAGTGAGTTCAAGGACTGACTGGAATATATAGCAGGACCCTGTCCAAAAAAAGGTAACACATGGGCCAGGGATTTAGCTCAGTGGCACTGCACCTGCCTTGCAAGCACAAGGTCCTGAGTTCTATTCCCCATACCTAAAAAAGGTAACACAGGAAGGGACGTATGTGGAGCCCTTTCGGCCTGTTTGCCCTTGGGAGCCTGACAGTATCCTTCATTACTTGCACTTCTTACATGAGATAGAGGATGGTGGAGGTAAAAAGGTTTCCCCAAAGTTGCAAAAGGACTCTAGTCAGGTTCTAACACTCCAGGTTCCCAGTTTATCTGTAACTCCCTCAGAAGACTGAGCCCACATCTGTTTCATCTTCTGTTTTTTCAATCAAAGCTATGTAAGTACAGCAGTCCGCCTTATCTGCAGGGACTACATTCCAACACCCCCAGTGAATGCCAGAAACCACAGAGAAAAGTGAACCCTGTGTTTGTACCACATAGCTCAGTGTCACTCATTAAGGGGCTACCTTGCCAAAAGTTTCATAGACTCAGTGCTTTCTGGCCCAACATGTTGATGTTGTCAGAACACATTTTCTGTTTATAAAGTCTTCCACAAATGCAATGCCTTCCCATCTGAACCGAGCATGTATTCACTGTATAATTTTGCAGCTTGAGAAACTGCAACAGAAAAACTAACAATTTATCTTCCTCACAGTTTCAGAGAGATGAATTCATAGATCTTGGCAACTGGGACACACAGGTCCCTACTAAGTCTAGAACTGTCACCTTTTCACTTAAAGGAAGTGCTTTGTAGCTTTTCCTTAGCATATCCAAATTGCCAATATCACTGTTCTTGTGCTTTGGGGCCATTACTAAGTACAATAGGGAACAATAATCTAATAACTAAGATGGCTACTAAGTAACTAATGAGGGGGTAGCATATACAGTGTGGATACACAGGACAAAGGGATGATTCACAGGTGGGAAAGGGGAGAAGGGAGCTAGATTTGATCACATTGCGAAGAATAGAACACAGTTTAAAACATGAATAGTTTGGGCTGGGGATTTAGCTCAGTGGTTTGGTCGCCTGCCTTGCAAGCGCAAAGACCCAAGTTCAATCCCCGGTACCAAAAAAAAAAAAAAACATGAATAGTTTATTTCTAGAGTTTGCCATTTAATATTTTTAGACCAATATTTGACTGTGGATAACAAACCACAGAAGACTACAAATAAGTGGAGACCACTGTAGTTGTTTGAAAGACTTTTCTCCCATCTTCCCCACCTTTGTTCTCGTTCCCCAGAAGGAACTGCTTTTAACCCTGTGGTTGTTCCTTTTAATAGCTACACTCTTCTTGTGGCTTCTTTTGGTTCTCTCTCAATTTGTCAGTCATATGTGTCCACAGCTATTTTGTCTTTTGGTCATCAGATTTGGCATCCTTGGGCCGGCAGTTTAGCTCAGTGGTTCTGCTGCCTTCCTCACATGCACAGGGTCCTGAGTTTGATGCCCAGAACCAAACAAAAAAACCCTATATTTGGGCTGGAGATTTAGTTCAGTGGCACTGCACCTGCCTCACAAGTGCAAGGTCCTGAGTTCAATCTCCAGTAACACACACACACACACACACACACACACACACACACAGATGTGACATCCTTACGAACTTTCTGCTGTGGCACAGAGAAGGATTTACATACTTTATCTTGTTTTGTCCCCTACAATGTTTAGAACAGAACTTGGCCTGCAGCATTTGCAACTCAGATATTGTTGTGTGCAGCTCTGGGCTCAAAAGGGGCTGCTCGTGGGTGGCTGTGCTCCCATCCAGGATGGCTTTATGCAGAGCGTCTTGCTAAGCTCTGATCTCTGGGAGCCAGTCATTTCTGTGGTATGCTTTCAGTTTGGAGCCTGTTCTCTCAAAATGTTTAGGCAGCTTCCTGGTTTTGGACCATCACGGAGGCTCATAGTCCACAACCTCTCCAATTTATGTGAGAGGCCCAGAAAGGTCGGCTCACAGTTTCAAGGGCTGGAGGGTGCTAGACGAGGCCTCCCATGAGCTCCCACACTGCCTGCAGCATCGATGCCTCTCTTCTTCCTGCCCTTCTCCCCACACCTCCCAGCCTGACTTCTTCTTTTGCTTTTGTGTAGAATCTTGTTTCCTGTTTGCCCTCACGCGCCAGAAGCTGCCCCCCTTTTGCCAGCAGGGGTACCTGCAAATGAAGGGGCTTGTGTACACCGAGAGCCTTCGGCAGCACGGTGTGGAAAGTGGGCTTCTGCGGGACTATGCCACCGTGGGCCAGGCCCTGAAGGACAGCAGTCGGCAGCCTGGTGATCACCAGCCAATGGATCACCCCTTGGCTACAGGGCATCTGATTCAGTCCCTTGACAGTAACAAAGAGGAGCTCTGACTGTCCTCTCCTAAGCTGTGGGCAGAGTGGCTGGTTTCTCCCTTTGGCCTGGTCAGGCCTCCTGTTTCGCCACAGCCTCACACTCCTACAGACATGTGACCGCCAGAGACCACGCAGGTCCTCCCCATGGCTGCACCAAAGCAATCTTCAGGGCATAGAAGGGCTGGGATGCCCACACAGCAGTGGCGTTCCCTCCTGTCTTGGTCCCTGGGTGCCAGATGGCAAGGTCAGGAGAAAGGCATCTTCCACAGCTGTGCACTGCCTTCCGCACCTATCATCTCCAGAGGACCATCATTGAGCACAGAACGGCCCATCCTGTCCCCTTCAGGGTCCCATCTGCTGCTTTTTCTCCTAGCCCAGCCCTAGGATGGACCAGGATCTTGCCTACGGAGCATTTCACAAGTGAAATCCGTTCTCCTCTTCACAAGGGTGTGCAGCAGGTGCTTTAAAACAAAAGCTCAGTGATGTCATGGGGAGCTGGGGTTGCCCCCGGATTGCTGCTGGAGACCCAGCCTGGAGGTGCTGAGTCCCTTCCAGAGCCCGCAGCCATGAGTGCCTGTCCATGTTCTCCTCTCCATGCTGCCTCACCCACAGCTTCGTTGCGCTGCCTTGCCCATCCTGGCCCTTGCTCCCAGCAGGGCTTGGACTTAGCAACAGACCTCAGCGATGGCTCTGGCTTATCTCATGGGCACAGAGGGTGGCACGGGGCAGAGGGGACTTTCCCTGCAAGTTATCAGACCCAAGCAGGTTCCTCCCTGAGCAGCAGAACACAGGCACAGAGTGCCCTCTCCCCCGAGGAATCTGAGACTCTGTGACCCTCCTGCATCCTGAACCTGCCCAGTCAAGTACGGTGAAGCTGCTTTTCTGCCGTCCTGTTGACCACATGCAAAGAAACATTGGTAGAGGCTTTCGGAAGGTACCAGTGCATTCAGCTTCTCTTCCTTGTCCTGTCCTCCAGCATGCACTCTCCCCTCTGGTGTTGCAGTCTCAGTTGGGAGTAAGCCATGGGGAAGAGTTTATATACTAGGAAGTCGCAGTGGTTTCTCGGAGCCAAGGATCACCTTTCTCGAAGGTTGTCTCTTGTTTTTCAAGGGTCCTTTCAGAATTCCAGGGACATGGGCTTTCTGGACCCAGAGCTACTTCATGAGAATATCTCATCCTCTCAGCTAGATGAAAACGCCGGCCACCTGGCCCACTGTCCGTGCACAGCCTCCTCCCGCCGGTCACTTGCAGAATAGCAGGCCTATCTTGCTGGGAGGAGCTGTTTGCCCCATGACTGCACCAGGACAGTGCACAGGGTTTTTACTTAATTCCAGGATGTGGCATTCACTGTATTCCATATAGATTAAATGTAAATCAAAATGGGATGCTGTTAGTCCACCCTATCTTTTCCAAAACATTTTTAAAATGAATCTTTTAATTAGGACCCTGTCCGAGATGCCAAATCCTGTTCCACACATCTCGCCCACCCAGTTACTGAGGCTGGCTGAGCCACTTGTTCCAATAAAATTGTGCGGCGCTGTAACAAGTAGTTGACTGACGCCTAAATATGAGACATCTGCTGCTTTTCCCTTCATCTGCCAAGTTGTCAATTCCATGAAAATATCAGTCAGCCTTATTTGTTTTTAATAAGGCAGAATTCCATTCTTGCTCAGTTCATAGAAATGTCTTCCCTGGTTTTCTGTACTGCAGCTGGTTCCAAAAAACAAAATTCATGGCCACACTTGGCGAGTCCCCACAACACTCGTTCCTAACAGCCCTCTCCCCTTTTCTTACCTGACCTCAGGTGCCAGTGCTGTCAGGAGCCATCTTTGGATGGCTGCCACCTCCCTGCTGTGTTGGGTTCCCATTTTTAACTTTATTGCCCCATTTCCTTTTTTTGGCAAGTCTGGACAGCCCAGTAACACAGCTCGTCTTTTCCAGCTAGACCAAGTTCCTCTATTAGTTAAAACCTGACTTTGTTTGTTCCTTTTTTTTTTTTCTTTTTCTTAATATGAGAAGTTACTGGTACAAAATAGACAAGTCAGGGAAAGAATCAGAAGGCAACTGTATTTTCCTTTTTTTTTTTTTTTTTTTTTTTGAGACAGGTCTCACTATGTAGTTGAGACTGACCTGGAACTCACTAAGTAGCCCAGGATGGTCTTGAACTCACAACAGTCTTCCTGCCTCAGCCTCCTGACTGCTGGGATTACAGACATGCACCACCACGCCTAGCTGGCAACTCTATTTTACTTTTCTTTTTTTTCCCCCACCAACCCCCAACACTTTTAAATAAGATGATTTAAAGAAAAATCACAAATCAATTTTTAAAAAGATTGCATAGGGCTGGGGATTTAGCTCAGCGGTTCAGTGGCCTGCCTTACAAGTGCAAGGACCCGAGTTCAATCCCTGGTAAAAAAAAAAAAAAAATACTGCATAGAATTTTACCCAAAATGTTAGACTAACTAGTTAGTCTTTGGAAAAGAAGTTTTGTTTTTTTTTTTCACTTTTAGACCCCAATTTCATACTATACTTTGAAGGTAATTCCAAATAAAATTTTTGAACCCATAAAAACATGTTGAGGAGGGGGACCACAGTCAAAGAAAAGACTTTCCAAGTTTAAAAGCAATAGATTTCTCCAGAGGAAAATACTTAGCATTTCCTGGGATACCCTCGTAACCCCTAAATGTGACTATTTTATAGAAAATGATAAAAAGGAAAAATAGCATGGGCAAATATAATTATGGCAGAATATAACAAAATATATAAGTAACTTGATGAAATGAAAGATGAACTGTTTGGTAAACAACCCAATGGACTGTTACATAGCTCTGATTACAATGAAAGACAGGTAATACAAATGCGTATTAATAAAGTGAAAAAAAGCAAGATGTGAAATTATAGTCCCAACTGCTTGAATTACTTGTAACTGTAAAGATAGAAACCCATATAGCTGGGTATGGTGGCACACACCTGTAATTGCAGCACTCAGGAGACTGAGGCAGGAGGATTACTGCACATTCAAGGCCAACCTGAGCTATATAGTGAGATTCTGTCTCCAAAAAAAAAAAAAAATGCAGCAGAAAATACTGAAAGGAAACATCACAGAATCTCAGCAATGGTTAAATTTGGTGTAGAGGGTTTTTTTTTCTCCCCTCTTTTCAAGTTCTGTGGTTATGTTCTATAGTAAATGGCAATTATCTTCCAAAAACTTCTGATTTTTTAACTTGCAGTTGCCAGAGCAAGTGGACACAGGAGCCCCTCCCCGCAGACATGTTCTGCTTTCCTGTGCAGGTAGTGTCCTTGTAGTGTCCCCTTGGAGCCACTTCCTTCCCTGCCAGTTGTGAAGAAGCAGCATTGATTGTCACGTGTTCAGCTAAAGAAATGAACTGTGAGCACTGTATGTTCCTTTCATGGAGACTTGGGTCCAACTGAACCAGCACCATGGAGATCTCTGGAAACATCTTCCCTCCCAAGTGATAGAAAATGAAAGATAAAAAATCCTTACTTGGTGGAGTATTTAGTCTCCAGGGCACTGTAGAGCCCAAAATTCCTTTTATCTGATAAAACAGGATAAAGTCTGCCTGGAAATGAACTCACCATGGCTGGGTATTTACCTCAGTGGTTCCATCACCTGCCTCACAAGTGCAAGGTCCTGAGTTTGATCCCTGGTACAAAAAAAACAAACTGAGTTTGTGTACTAAGCTAATCATAATACCTATCTAATCATTTACTGAGTACCTGCTCTATGCCCACAGACTTTAATCTATATCAGTCACTTTGCTGCTGCTATCACAAAATACCTGAGTCTGGGTAATTTGTGAAGAAAAGATTACTTTTCTCAGTTTTGGAGGTTCAAGAGCATTGCTCTGATACTTGGACAGCCCTGGTGAGGCCTTGGATACATAACAGGGAGCCCGTGTGAGAAGGAAAGAGTGCATGACTTTAGGAAGCCAGAAAACATGGAGGAGCCAGTCTTGCTCTTTCATAACTGACCCTGGAGAAAGCAACCAGCATCCCTCAAGAGCTACCTTAGTCTCCTCTAAGGGCAGCTCCTGCAGTGCCCAGTCACCTCCCTAGGCTGTACCTCCCAGCATCACCACAGTAATGAGCAAGCCAAACAGTAGTATCGCCAGAAAGGAGAAGTCTCATGTTGAGGGTGGGCTGAACTTAGAAACTCACTCCAACCGAGTGGAAACAGCAGGAGTGATGGGCTATCTTTTCCAAGATCAAGTTATAAATATTGGCATTCACCCACAGAGAGATTGTGCTCGCTCCTCTCAGTCCCTGCCCCCATCCGGGTGAGGATATTCATATCTCAAGGACATCCAGGCAGCCTGTGCAAAGGCCCATGTGGAAAGGAACGGAAGCCTGTCAACAGCCATGTGAGTGATCTTGGGGATGAATCCTAGCAAAACCAAACCAGATGACTGCATTGGGGCTGGGGATTTAGTTTAGTGGTTCCAGTGCCTGCTTCACAAGTGCAAGGACCGGTGTTCAATCCACGGTTCCAAAAACAAAACAAAAAAACTGGGAATGTGGCTCTGCAGAAGTAAACCATATGACTGCAGCTCCAGCCAACCACCAACAGCCTCATGAGAGGTCCTGAGCCAGAATCACCCAGCCAAGCCATTCCTGAGTCCGCATACACAGTACAGAAACAGATAATATTTTCTATTTAAGGTGCTAAATTAGGATGGTATTCATTATCCAGCAATGGGAAACTAATACAGTAAGTCTGGACTTACTGTATGGGCACTGCATAATTTACCTATGCAATTTAAATTCTCCACCATATGAGGTAGAGAGCGCTATCCCCATTGTCTTAGTCGCTTTCTTGTTGCTGGGACAAAATGTCTGTTTTTGTTTTCTGGGGGGGGTTTGTTTTTTGTTTTTTGCGTTTCTGGGTTTTTGGTTTTTTTGGTTTTTTGAGACAGGGTCTCACTGTGTGTTGAGACTGACCTGGAACTCACTGTGTAGCCCAGGCTGGTCTCGAACTCTCAGCGATCCTCCTGCCTCAGCCTCCCGAGTGCTGAGATTATAGGTGTGCGCTGCCACGCCCGGCTTTGCGACAAAATGTCTGAAACCCACAGTTTAAAGCCTCACATTTTCAGCCCACGGGCAGCTGGCTTCAAGGCAGAAATGGCGTGGTGGAAAGGCACAGGAAAGCTGCTTCTGTCAT